CCCGGCCCCGGGGCTCTGCGCGTCGGGTCCCTCGGCTGGGCCACGCTCTGGGGCGCACGCAGGAACCTGCTCCGCGTCCCTGTGGGAAGGGTTAGGGCGAAGGAGGGCAAAAGGAGCCCTTTTGGGAAGGAGATGCCCACAAATTCCTGACAGTAACTCCGAGGAGCATCCATCGAGTGCCGATGCTGCAGGTGCAGCAGAGACCTCATGCAGCCCTGGCCACTGGCTGCTCCCTGGGGAAGAGAAGCCCAGGGAGCTCTGCCCATCTCAGCATCTCTCTTTTTTTATTCCTTTTTGCTGGTTTGTTTTTTCCCACCACCAGCACCTTCTTTTTTTGTTATTGTTTAGCAGCACAGAGTGGCTGAGTCACTGAGAGAGAGCACGTTGCCTGCGCCATGCCTGCAGAAGGGGTCAGGAGTCTATGTAGGCAGCAGCAGCCTTTGAGGGGAGGCTCTAGAAAACCTTGGGACATTGCGTGGTCTCCATGTGCGCCCACACAGAGGGTCTGCATTTCAGTCTTCCAGAGACTGTTTCTTCCCCCCCCTTTTTTTTTCTCAGAATCTCTTTTCAAGGCAGAGCTGCGCTTCGGGAACAGGCATGGAAAAGTGCGACAGACGGGTGGGAGTTTCGCTTGCAGCAGTAAAACGCGGTAGAGGAACGGGAGAGGGGAACAAGCCTGGATGGAGGTGGGATTGATGTCAGCAGAGCACTGCGGCTACGGGGAGGAAGGGGCAGGCAGGGAATGGAGGTTTCCTTGTCAGCTGGGAGCCACAATGCTGGCAAAAAGGCCGGAGGAAGAAGAGGAGGAGGGGATGCAGGGTGAGCACATGTGCAAAAGATGCTGCTGATGTCTCCAGTGCCTGTAGTTAAATCCCATCCCTGCTGCCTGCCTCCGTTTCCCTTCGTGCCTGTTGGAGACGAGCACGTGCATCGTACCCACAGGGTGCTTTGGAGTGGGACCAAAGAGCAAAGGAGCAGCCATGCTGGAGCTGCGTCCTTGCAGGAGGGCACTGCTGGGTGGAAAAAAGGGCAGGAGCCTGTCTCACATCCTTGTGGTTCTCCGCAGGTGCGTGGAGGAGTACAAGCTGGCCCCTGACGGGAAGTCCTGCCTGATGCTGTCTGACATCTGTGAGGGCCCCAAGTGCCTCAAGTCGGACGCCAAGTTCAACGACACGCTCTTCGGAGAGATGCTGCACGGCTATAACAACAGGAGCCAGCACGTCAACCAAGGGCAGGTGTTCCAGATGACTTTCAGGTATGGCCCGGTTCTGCTCCTGGTTTTGGGAACATCGGGATGGTGAGGCGGGACCGAGGTATGTTGGTACAGAGCCAACGTCTCTGACACGTTCACTAGGAGAGGAGAGCAAGAGGACAGCAAGCGTCCATGGTTTGCCTGCTTGCTCATCCTTCCTGCAGCTAGCAGCGTAGGGTCCTCCTGGGCCAGTGTGTCTCGTCAGTGAGTGTTTAATTGCCTTCAAGGGCTTTTCTCAGTAGTGCTGCTTTGTCTCTTTTTGAACACTGATGTTCTTCATCTCCGTGATTCCCTGCGACAATGAGTTCCGCCGTTTGATTGCGCGTGGTATGAAAGGGCATTTCCTTTGGCGTGTTTTCAACCTGGGTGAGCTGGTTTTACTCAGTGCCCCCAGTTACAGTACTGGGAGGAGCCGTGGGTGTAGCATGATAAGAAAGATTGTAAATAGGCTGAAGGTTGATCCCCTGCCGGGGTGCAAGGAGCGGATGGCAGGGGCTGTTTGTGAGCTGCATCCCGAGTACGTCGGGAGTACCGAGGGTCAGAGGCGCGTGGGGAGAGCAGGATCCGAGCTGCCCGGGTCTTCACCTTGCAGTGCTCACGGGGCAGGGCTTGCTGGTAGCTGTTGAATTCAGGGCTGGAAAATGAGTTGATTTATTAATTTTTTGTCAGTTCTCCTGAATGCAGCCGCATTTTGATCGAGTTTAAACCAAGCTGGGACTATGAGTTTCAAAGCAGCAGCAGCACTGATCACGATCAGGAGAGGATCCAGCCCCCATCCCACCCAGATTCTCCCTTGCCCAGCGCCTGCCAGGGCACTGAGGGTTTCTTTGCTCTTAAGGCACTGAGACCTCATCACTGCCTCCAATTTTAGCTGGAGTTGTGGGTGCTCGTCACTGCTGCCCACGGTGTTTGTCTGGGCTTTTTCCCCAGCAGAGTGCAAAGCCTTCCTAGCTACGAATTCACGCTGAACTCTGGCCTTTTGCTGTCTTGATGGCTGATGAATTACGAGCTCCACCAGCACAAAGGCACTCGGAAAGCCGCAGCCAGCGGAGTGCTTGGAGCCAGCAGAGCCGCAGTGCCGCGGGCAGTGATGCACTTCACTCGCAAGAGAGAGGCAACGATATACTTTATTGGTAGAAGACAGTGAGTTAGCAAAGTTCAATGGTGAATGCAACAATGGTTTAGCAAGATTCGATGTCAAGGTACACAGGATTATTTACTGCACAGAGGACAGGGTTGGACAAAATGGTCAGAGACCCTCCTGTTGAGTCATGAGGTTTGGAATGGACCCCCTTGCTTTTTAACGGCCTGCTCAGAGAGGAGTCAAGGTGCGGCTGGACCCAGTCTTAGCCCCAGACTTGATCAAGAGTTTGTGTCTCAAGGATCATATATGCACAATCAATCCTTTATATCACTTAGCTGAGATTTTCAAAGTTTCAGCACACTTGTTCCCACTTCAGTTACTGAGTATCTGACGCGATAAGGGTTCTGTCAACCTGGAGGACTACCCTTGAGGGACGTCCCTGCTCAAGGGGAGATCCTGGCATGCAGCCCTCTGCCATGCAGGAGAGCTCAGCGGGCTCTGGGGCCGCTCACTGTTAAGGGGGTAAGATGACTGACTCACAGTTGCAGACTGATGGCAGATGTTGGTTTCTTCCAAATTTGGCTTGAGTCGGATGTTGTTCAGCACCGTGGTTAGGTGGGCGCAGTGCCATAAATTAGCCCTTGGCTATGGTGTTGTTATCTGTCTCCCCCAAACCTACCTTGACCAGATGCATCTATCATGACTGCAGCTGGTGATTATCGCTTGGGCAGGGTCCGGTCGGGGTGCGGGGGGAAGCACACCGGCACACGCAGCCTTTGCTGGAGGTGAGAGTCGACAGTGCATGAAGGCGATTTTCCTCGTGGGCTCCTCTCTGCGTTCTCCCCCTCCCACGTTACAAGCATCAGTGGGTGTGTAAGAGCAGAGCCAGGGCTGCAGAGCTGTGATGTTCTATGAGCTGGCATGTTGAGCAGGTCTGGGGGCTTCGAAAACTCCCCAAGCCCATCTCCTGGAATTGCCAGACCCAATGGGCTCCACCCGGATGAGGTCGAGCCCTGGCTTGTGCCGTCAGTCCCTAAGCACCAAACCTCCTCTTGCAGAGGCTTGTATTTTCTCTCTGGCTCGTCCGTAGCCTGCCCTTTGCTTGCACTGCAAAGCGGGAGGGTTGAAAAACCATCCTTCCCCTGCCTCAGCCAGGGCTGGGGTGCAAGGGCTGCTTTGTCACTGCTGGGAAGCAAACACAGCCCCTGTCCTCCTAAATTCCTCCTAAACTCCAGCTGGAAAGCAAGCAAAGTTGTGTGTGGGTCTGGTTTATCCTGGGAAATGTGGCTTCTCCACGTCACGCCATCTGAGGTCATCCTGGGACGGTGGGGTTGGGCAGTCCCAGGCTGGACCGGGAGCGGTTCCTGCCGGAGCTGCCCTCAGCCTCTTTGCTCTCGGCATAAAGCACCCGTGGTGGTGGGATTGTATCTTCCAGGGGTCCGAGCCCCAAGCACTCCCTGGGGCTCATGGCTGACAGGTTTTCGGGTTAAAAAAACAAAGGGCCGTTGGT